GGAAAGGGAAAGGGGGAGGGTATACTGGGGAGATTGGTGGTGGGGAATGTGCACTGATGGAAGGATGGGTGTTTGATCATTGTGTGATTGTAACTCAAACATGAAAACTTGTAACTGTACCTCATGGTGATTCAATTAAAAAATTTTAAAAATAAAAACAACAATAAAAAAGTATTGTCCCAATTGAAACATGATTTCCAATTTAAATCATTTTCATCTTCATGATGAATACCTTCATGATCAATACCCAGTATTGCTACATAATAAGCTGTGTCGGAGAGAAGGAACAGTAGCAAGAAATCAGAAGCAGTTGGATGCCAGTTGCTAGGATCTAAGAGAGGAACTGGAGTGGTAGCACAAGAAACAAGAACAGCACATGGAATTATATCTAAGTGGATACATCCCTTCCCTCCCCTCCCACTCCTACCAACTGTGGTGAAGTGATACAGAAGATGAAGAAGACTGAGGGTCAAGAAGAGATGTGTAGGTTTTCACTTGGATTTTTGAGAGGAGAACTGCAGAACTGACTGAACTAGGGGCTATAAGAGGAAGAGGGAGACTTTAATACAGTGAGAACCAACTGCATCGATATGTGTTCTTGGCTCTGAAAGAAAAGCAGTTAAGTAAAATTCCAGACATCACACATAATCTATAGTCTACCAAACAATAGTATCTTTCTGGGAGGTAACTGAACACCTGAACCTGAATTCAACAGATAGTCAGGCTACTTATACAAATATGTACCTTATTTAGCCAATCTTTCAACAAGTAGCCCTAAAAAAACAATGCCACATATACCTTTGGCATTGCTTTTATAGTGCTTTTTTTTTTTTTATAAATCCATGAAACCTTTGGTTTTCAGCAAGTTAGCCCAAAAGATAGGAAGAACATATTTTTAAGAACTTAAACCAATGGGCATTTTTAATAATTTTACAAGACAAAACTCCCAACTCACAATGAACTAAATTGGGATAATCAACCATGGTGGTTTTTAACAATAATTACTTGATGTCACTATATTTATTTCAATGCTGCCACCTTAGGTTCAAATGCAGAACTACATGACCTTAAAACCCCTATGATTATTCATCAGCGAAATCTGAAAATACCAAAGATTTGAGCCAATGAAAAATTAGGGAACAGAACCTGAGACCCCTTTTTCATTTGTTTTTTGAGCCAGTCAGCTGTGCTCAGGGCTTCCTCCTGGCTCTATAACCAAGGACTCGGGGGACCAAATGCTCCATCTCTCTGGTCTCTTCCTTTTCAATCTGAATGCCTTTTCTGGCCTACCTGCTCTGGGTCATTTGAATAAAGGAGGCAAGAATGCACCTTCTTGTCTTGTTTCTAATCTCAGGAAAGCTATCAAGTTTTCACTATTGAGTATATATGATGTTAGCTGTGGGCTCATCATATATGGTCTTTATTATGTGAGAAATGTTCCTTCTTAGCCACATTGTGGAGAATTATCACAAATGGATTTTAAAGTTTTGAAATGCTTTTTTATTTTTTGCATCTGTTGAGATGGTCACATGATTTTTTTAATTTTACTGAATCACCGTGAGATAGTTTCATGTTTGGGTTACAAAATCACACAATGATCAAACATCCATCCCTCCACCAGTGCAAATTCCCCACCACCAATATCCCTGGTATACCCCCCCCCCCTTTCCACCCTCCCCCTGCCTCCATGGCAGACAATATTCCCCATACTCTTTCTCTACTTTGGGGCATTATGGTTTGCAATGCAGATTCTGAGAGGTTATCATGTTTGGTCCATTATCTACTTTCAGCACATGTCTCCCCTCCGGACCAGTTCCTCAAGCCATCATTTTCTTAGTGATCCCTTGTCTATTGAGATAGTCACAAGATTAACCACCAAACTTCCCCTTTTTTTGACTGTTAAGATGAATTTCAGTGAAGTGGCTGGGCATGTAGTCTTTATACTCCTATTTGAGATAGTTCAATTGTCTTATAAAATTCCCTGTATCCATTTACAGTCCAAGCTTACCCCCACAGTCGCCTAGTCCCCTAGATCTGGAGCCAGGCAACTACTTATTTTTTTGGGGGGGTGGGGGGCGATGGGACTACACCTGGCAGTGCTTGGCTTTATGCTGAGGGATCAATCCTGGCAGGTCTCAGAACATATGTGGTACCAGGGATAGAACCTAAATCAGCTGTGTGCAAGGCAAATGCCTTATCCACTGTACTATTTTTTAAGCCCACCTGGTCTATTTTCATCTGTCAAGTTTTATCTTCTCTAGAAATTTTAAACAAACAGAATCAGCCAAAAGCCTCACGCAACTAGATTCTTTTAGCCCTTGGAGTCTTTCATTTTGTTGTATCTACCAGTAATTCATTCTTTTTTATTGCTGACGCAGCCAACATGGCCGATCCGAGTTCGATTCCTCCGCCCCTCTCGGAGGGCTCGGCAAGCTACCGAGTATCTCGCCCGCACAGCAGAGCCTGGCAAGCTCCCCGTGACGTATTCGATATGCCAGACACAGTAACAACAAAGTCTCCAATGGAGATGTTACTGGGCCCACTCGAGCAAATCGACGAACAACGGGAGGGCCTTTACCTTTACCTTACCTTACCAATTGCTGAACAGTACCCTGTTATATGCATGTACATATGTATATGTTTATCTTCTCATGAATCACAAGAATTTTTAATTTTGATAAAGTTCACTTCATCAATTTTCATGTACTGTGTTTTGGGCATGATATCTAAGAGAACTCTGGAAAATATAAGATCATGAAGATTTGTCCCTCTATTTTCTTATTATAGTTTTAATTCTCATATTTAATTCTCATACTTGATAATCCAATTTTTCTTCTACAAGTTTTAAATTTTTATATTGTACATATAAATCTATGATTCATTTTTGTGGTTAGTGCGAAGTTAAAGTTCATTTTGCAAGAGTTACGATAAATTGAGTACCACTGCTGAAAACTCCATTGTTTTTTCCAACGTGTAACTGGCATCTTTGTCAAAACTGATTATATATACTTGAGTTTATTTATGAATATTCTATTTTATTAATCTGTCTATGTCTATAATTGCATATAACTTTTAAAATCAGATCATTTTATTTTCTTCTTATTTTCAAAATTACTGGGGAACAGGGGGTGGTGCCTGCTACATACCCAGTGGTCGTCAGTGCTAATGGCTTGTTCCTGGTAATGTACAAGGTGCCAGGACAGAGTCTGGGCCTCTGACACACAAAGCCTGTGCTTCCATCCACTGAAATAGCTCAATGGCCCCTCAAAATCATCTTAGTTTGTCCAAGATCCTTTGTATTTGTGTAAATTTTAGAATAAATATGTCAACTTCCAGGGCCAGAGTGGGAGTAGGATGTTCACCATGAGATCATCAGCATGCCATATGGACCCTCGAGCCCACCAGGAGTGATTCCTGAGTGAGTGGTCAGCCCTGGAGAAAGCTTGCGCACCACTGGCTATGGCTCAAATACAACAGCAACAACAAAAAGTCAATTTCTACAAAGAAACCTATTTGGACTATGAAAAAATAACGAGTAAATGAAACTTCCAGCCTAACATAAAGATACTACCTCTTTTCAGTTTTTGAGTCTTCTTAAATTTCTCTATGTACATATGTACAGTTTTCAGAATACAGAAATAATTACTTTATTTATAAAACAGTTTTCTTTGAAAGAAATTTAGAAATATGGGAGGAAGGAGATGTTCAAAAGAACAAGGGCTTCTCCAGAGGGGTAGAAAGCCCAGAAATAATTTATTTTAATGAAATACCAATAATTACCTTTTTACTTAAGCTTTACACCTGGCATCAAATTATTTAAAAAAAAAAAACCTTGCAAAAGCTACTTAAAAATCCTTCTTGTCTAAATATCTAAATTAAGCTTTTTATATATCTCATGTTCAACATAGGACAAATAATAGACACCTATAATTTCATAACGTCTAGGGTCATAAATCATTGTAACACTAATCAGGAAAAGAAGTTCGCTCCTAGGGCAAAGACGGTACTTGCTTAACCACTCTGTCCCACAACAATCTTTGGTAGCAGAAACTGAGCACTCAATGAGGATTTCTTCTCTAACTCTTGTCAAATTCCCCCAAACTCCATAATCCAGAGTTATACCCACACACATAAAAAGTCTCCCTGTACACATATGTATATAAAGCATTACTATTAGCAAAATAAAATACATCGATCTTCAGTCTGTCTTGATCAAGTGCTAGCACAGTTTTAATCTCTAACTGTGAATGCGCAAGCCTACATAGAAACATACTTAGGTTCTATTAAACATTCAAATCATAAAATATTTTTTAAGAGCTAAGGGACACAGTCTAAAGCACGTGCACAAGGTTCTGAGATTACAGCCTCAACATCACATGCAACCCCCGGCACCTTGTGATGTATCCCTGGTGGCCCCAAGCAGACTGGGGTTGGCCCGGGGACCTCTCTTTCTGATACACCTGAGCATTACCACCCCTTTTGGCCCGACTACTGAACCGTCAGGACTAGACAGTCAGGCCAAGTATCATCAGGCATTATTTCCAAGACCCCTGAACACTGCTTGGAGGCATATGATTTAAAATTTAAAAATTAAAGGGACCAGGGACATAGCACAGGAGTTAAGACACATGTTTTGCATGTGTATCTCACCCTGGTTCAATTCCTGGCACCATATGGTCTCCCAAATACTGCCAAGTATAGTCTAGAGGCCCCCAAACAATATCAGGGCCCAAGAAGAACCACAGCATCCTTCCGGCTGAACACTGAACTGTTCCGCCCAGTTGGCCAAAATCAACAGGTTTGGCCCCCAACTCCCTGGCCACTGACTGGGAGACTCCCCGCCAAAATTAACAAAATGAAAAATAAAAGTAAAATAAAATACTAACTTGGTTTTTCAATGAGAATCTGTCTTTGTAAAACACCCACCACACAACCCATTGCAAATTTAATTTGGTGAGAAGAAAACACATTCTTTTTTTCTTTTAAATTTAAGTTTTTACCTCTGTTTCTCTGCAACTGCTTTGTCCATGTGCTGAAAGATATCCTGAAACAGGGTGCAGCTGGATCGACTATTGATAGTATATCCATATCCTCTTTTCCAATATTGTTTTAGATCATTTAAATATTCTAATACCTAAAACAAAAATTTCAAAACTCAGTACTAGAACACTGCATCAATGTAAAAGATTCTCTGATTAATGATTTTCTCAGCAAAGGTTACACTGGTTAATTATTATTCTGCACAAAGTATAATAGTCTAGCATTCCTAGTGTATAATTGCTCTTTTGAGAAAATAAAGAATAATACAAGATCCTAACACATAAAGACTTATGTGCAGACATGAAAGGAACCAAGGCAATGTACAAGCAGGCACGCAAGAGCAAATTAACAGCACAGTCAGAATATGTTATCAACTGTTCAGAAGAGCGGGTTAAAGGCATGTACTAACTTCCCCTTTTTTCTAAAATTGTATCAAGATGATAATCAAAGACATATACAGCAGGAAAAAAAAAAAAGACATATACTGAAGACTATCCAGGGCAGTACACAAAAGGCTAAAGAGTGGATGAAGAATTTCTAGGTATTTCAGAAGGATAGAAACCAAAGAGAAATGAATTATTTTAGTTCATGTATTTAATCTGCCATGGGAAGAGAGAGATCTTAAAAGACTGAGCGTGCTTTGCATGAAGGAGTCCTGGGTTCATTCCTAGTACCACATGGTCCCCTAAGCACTACTTCGAGCAACCCCAAGCACAAAATCCACAGTGGCTTCCACGTGCCACTGGGTATGGTCCCCAAACCATAGCACTGTAGCACTGTCCTCCCGTTGTTCATCGATTTGCTCTGGCACATCCAATACGCCACGGGTAGCTTGCCAGGCTTTGCCGTGCAGGCGAGATACTCTCAGGAGCTTGCTGGGCTCTCTGAGAGGGGCCGAGGAATCCAACTTAGGTCGGCCAAGTTGGCCGCATGCAAGGCAAACGCCATACTGCTGTGCTATCACTCCAGCCCCCCAAACCATAATACATATTTTTTACCCTCTGGAAATTTGTTAAAACAACTATTAGTATTGAAAAGCAAATTTGTTAAAACAACAATTAGCATTGAAAAGCTAAGCAAACAAAAAAAATGAAGTACATTTTAATGTTCATTGTATTATTCTTACAAATTCTGTCAATTTGAAAATTTTCGGAGTAAGTTGCAAGAGCAGGGGAAAAAGAGATGAGTTCATAAGCAATAAGAAAAAAAGGAAAGTAACCCTAAAAAGGAAAAAAAAAATTAAAAAAAAAAAAACACAAAAACACCAGCCCCCAACGATGCTCCAGTCTTCTTCCCCACCCAGGTCAGTCTGCCCACCAATATTCGAAGACAGGACTTGGCTTTCGCCCTGCACAGCCCCAGGCGTCCTCTAGGACCCTGGGACAAAAGCAGACATGAGCCTCTTCCTCTTCACCACGAACAAAGCTCCGGTCCTCTTCCCCACCCAGCCTTTACTCCCTACATACACCAGGTTCCCGAAGGGGCGTGGCCTCTTCTGAAGCGGGTTCCTTAGAAGTGGCAGTCTCATGCTTCCTTAAAGGTGGGCATGGCCTGATTTTAGGTAGGCCAATGTTCATGCGGTGGCAGGTAGTTTAGTGTACCAAGAAATCTAGTATAACATCATAGTTCCCATACCTACACACCAACATGAAGAAACTAGGCAAATCCCCACCATGTGGGGAGGATGATGAAGAGTCCAGAAGGCTCAGTAGGTGCTATTCACCTAAGGGACCTCTCTGAGAAAGAATTCAGATATGAAGTCATGAAGATGTTCAATGAACTCAATGAAACAGACAGATATCCAATAAACTGAAAGAGGATATGAAAGAAACAATGGATCGCACAATTGAGAAAATACAGGAAGAAATGAGAGCAGAAATTGGAAAGCTACGCACAGAAATGTCACAAATGAAAGATTTCGTAGATGAAATAAAAAAACTCAGTCTGTGCCCTCAACAGTAGAACGGCCACAGCTGAAGACAGAATCAGTGAGCTGGAAGATCAGCTTGCACCAAGTCAACAGACAACAGCAAACAATGGCAAGAGACCTCAAAATAGATCGCGAGCGATCAGAGTCCTAGGAGATGATTCAAAGAGGAACAACATTAGAATCATAGGATTACCAGAGCTCAGGGAAACAATCCCAATAAAAAAGCCATGCTTAAACAAATCATTGCTGAAAAATTCCCAGAGCTTGACAATGCAGCCATTCAGATTCAAGGAGCCCGAAAGGTGCCAGCTAAAAGAGACCCTAACAAAAACACTCCAAGACATATCATAGTTAGAATGATCGATGCTACCGATAGAGACACAATACTGCAAGCAGCAAGGTCAAAGAAGGAAATCACATACAAAGGAGCACCCCTTAGATTCATAGCAAACCTATCAGAGGAAACCCTCCAAGCCTGAAGGCAATGGCGGGATATAGTGAAAAACTCACTGAAGTGAATGCTTCACCAAGAATACTCTATCCGGCTAAACTCTCACTCAAACTTGAAGGAAGAGTACACTATTTTCCAAATAAACAGCAGCTCAGGAACTTCACAGACTCAAAAGCAAACCTAAAACAAGGGCTAAAAGGGGCTACTATAAGATAAGACAAATCCTACAAGCGCAACAGAAAGATGACACAAAACCCCATAACAATAATCTCTCTCAATGTCAACGGTCTAAATTCAACAATGAAGAGACACACAGTGGCAAAATGGATTCAGAGACAGAACCCAACATTCTGCTGCCTACAAGAAACTCATCTCAACAGTCAGAGCAAATACAGACTCAAAGTTAAAGGGTGGAGAACAATACTGCAAGCAAACAGCTCCCTCAAAAAAGCTGGGGTGGCCATACTAGTATCCGACAACATCAATTTCAAGTTGAAAAAGATTAGAAGGGACAGCGAAGGCTATTTTCTCTTCATCAAGGGATATGTACAACAGGAAAAAAACACACTCGTAAATGTATATGCACCTAATGAGGGAATAGCTAAATACTTAAAACAACTGCTAACGGATTTTAAGGAGGACATTGCTAGCAATACAATAGTAGCTGGAGATTTCAACATCGCCTTATCACCTCTGGATAGATCAACAAGAACAAAACTCAGCAAGGAAACATTGGCTTTGAAAAAAGAAATAGAACAGAAAGGGCTTATAGACCTAAACAGGGCTCTACACCCCAAAAAGAAAGAGTACACATTCTTCTCCAGTGCACATGGAATATTTTCCAAAATAGAACATGTGCTAAGACACAAAACATAGCTCAATTATATTTCTATCAGGAAGATAGAAATAGTATCAACCATCTTTTCAGACCACGATGCACTGAGAATAGAAGTGAATCACACACAGACACAAAGAACCAAGTCAAACACCTGGAAATTACACAATGGAGTACTATGTAGCTGTTAGAAAAGATGAAGTCATGAAATTTATATACAAGTGGTACCACATGGAAAGTATCATTCTAAGCCAAACCAATCAGAAAGAGAGGGACAAACATAGAAAGACTGGATTCATCTGGGGAACATAAAGTAACAAAATAGGAGACTAACACCCAAGAATAGCCGAGATAAGTACCAGGAGGTTTACTCCATTGCTTGAAGGCTAGCCGCACACACTAGGGGAAATGGCAGCTCAGATAGAGAAAGGAGCACCAAATAAATGGTTTTGGGAAGTTCCTCTCAGGATGGGAGATCTGTGCTGAGAGTGGAATGTGGACCAAATATGATTACCACTCAATGCCTCTTTTGCAAACCACAGCACCCAAAAGGAGAGAGAGAACAAAAGGGAATGTCCTGCCACAGAGGAAGGATGGGATGGGGAAGGAAGGGGAGTGGGAGGGATACTGGGATCAGTGGTGGTGGAGAATGGGCACTGGTGGAGGGATGGGTGTTCAATCACTGCATAACTGAAACCCAAGCACAAAAATGTGTAAGTCTACAACTGTACCTCATGGTGTTTCACTAATAAAAATTTAAAAAAAAACACTAAAGTAAGCGTTATAAATATTGTAAGCTATAGTTATATTCCTGAGTCACCAAAACTTCCATCATTAAAGGAAACCAAAGCATAGGTTTTTACTTTGATTCTTCAATTCTAACATATTTGTACTGTACTAACTACCTCTCAGAAGGCAAAGAGAAGATGCACAAAAAAACATGAAGTAGGTGCTTGAAAGGAAAAGGAATCAAAAATGGAAGTAATTCAGGAAAGAAGGGAGAAATTAAGTGATGTGAGGGTGAATAAGCAAGGACTAAGTTCAAATAAGGAACAAGGTGAAATCCTAGTCAGGACAGAAAAAGGCAGAGATCAGGTGGCCAGATGAGCACATGCCAAATAGTATAACTATAGTAATGTGGGAAAATAAGTCATTTATTTTTGCTGAATGGTATTTCTCTTTTGGGAGTTAGAGACTAGAACCAGGGTTAAAGCTTATAACTTACATGCAGCTAAGCCCAGTTGAATCTCCAGGACTCCTAGGAGTGACATAAACTCCATCCATCCTCCCACAAAAAGTAAATTTTCCTACTGTCAATACCCATCAGTCATTTACACAATATTGAAAATCACTTAAATTTTGTATATCAGTTCCTTTCTCAAAACAAATGGAATAGAGAGAAAGGGAGGCAAGGTCTTCTCAGTTCACACCTACACAGGCTTAATAATAGTGCCCCTTTCATTTTTTAAAATATTCCAATTTAAAAGATAAACTTTGTACTCAGGAATTTAGGAGAAAAGGTTCTGAAGTAACAAGTTTTGGACATTTTAAGGAGATTAAAAACTGGGAACAGTGGGAACCAAAAAGTAGATAGCCTGGTGGCTGGAGTGATAGTACACTGATTAGGGCATATGCCTTACAACGCATCGCATATGGTCTCAGGAACACCACCAGGAGTAATACCTGAGTGCAAAACCAGTAGTATCCCCTGAACAATGCCAGGTGTGACCCAGCAAAGCCAAAAAAAAAAAAAAAAAAAAAAAAAGGAAATAGTCTGGAAGCAATAAAGGAGCATGGAGACCAAATATAATACACCCAGTATTACTGTCACTCTGCTTCCAAGAGTAATCATCATGGAAGAACCGAGCCCCTTCTCCAACTCACTGCAAAGCATAATCTCAAACTGGCACAATATCTCAAAAATCTCATTACCTTAAATGCCCATGCAAGTCTTCAAGTAACAAAATTAAGCACTTATCTTCAAACGTTCATTAACTCTTAACTTGAAAGCCTGCTTCTAGATGACAAGAAACTTTTCAAACTTTGAAACACATCTTCCTCTCGCCTAACAGAATTCTATCCAACATCATTACCCTAGGTATTTCAGAAAATAATGAACACATGGGGTTGGAGTAACAGACATTTGCCTTGCATGCAACTGATCTGGGTTCAATCCCCTGCGCCCCATATGGTACGCAGTCTGCCAGGAGTTATCCCTGAGCATAGAGAAGGGAGTAAGCTCTGAGCACCCACTGGGTGTGGTCCAAAACAAGAAAAAAAAAAAGAGGGGGAAAAAATACCATGAACACTTTTCCTATTCTACCTCTCTTAACGCCCAACATCACAGGTGAGGATTTCCTCCAACTGATAGCACTGTATCTATTAGAGCTCCCAGATGGGTCCCAGCAGCCTCCACACCTGATCTGTGTCATATTAAGGGTCTGCGCCTCAACTCCTGAAGTACAAGACCAGAGATCCTCTCAACAAGTTCCATGCTTTCCACAGTTATTCTTCCTGCCATTTCGTACAGAATGCAACCTCTAGCTTAATCCCTCGGCATCATCCAGGGGGGTTAAATACAAAGACTCAGCCCCAGCACAGCAAGAACGCTAGATAAATAATGGGAAAACACATAGAGGCCCACTAAGCTCAATGAATGAAAAAATTATCACCAAAAACATAAACAACATGAATAAATCATTAGGGAGTGTCTTTAGCAACACTATGAGGAGGATGTTCAGTGAATTCAAAGTAACAATAGCAAAGGTAGTCAGCAAAAAAACCACTAATCAGAAATGACAGAAATGAAGAACATGGCAGGTGATACAACGAACATCAATAGAAGCTCTGAACAACAGATTAACAGAAGTTGAGCAAAATATTGAGGCACTCCAAGGTAAGAAAGGAGAAACCACGAGCAACAGCAGAAAATAGAAGACAGTTTGAAAAGAAATGAACAGCATACCCGGGAGCTGTGGGGTGAGTTCAAGGGGGACAATACAAGAATCATCGGAGTCCCTGAAGAATAGGAAGGCAAATGTGAAGAAAGACTAGCTAGGGGATGGGGGGTGGGAGGGATACTGGGACCCGTGGTGGTGGAAAATGGGCACTGGTAGAGGGATGGGTGTTTGATCATTGTATAATTGAAATCCATGCACAAAAATTTGTAAGTCTGCAACTGTACCTCATGGTGTTTCACTAATAAAAATTTAAAAAAAAAAAATAGCTAAAGAAATCTAGGTAAGAACTTGCCTATATTTGAAGATCACATGCACCAAGATTCAAGAGGCCAAAGGGTGAAAAGAGTGAAAAGAGACCAGTAAGGAAAACTCTAACTCACGTTACACTCAAAATGACAAAAATCCAAAGATTGAGACAGATTATTGATACAGCAAGATCAAAAATTGCTTTTTATTTTAATCTGTTTCAAGTAAAAAAAACAATAATTATGAGGTTTAAAAAAAAGAAATGGGAAAAACAATTTTTACATACTTACAATTTTTGCATTTTTACTTACCTTTGCATCATCTACGTCAAAAACATCACACCAAGGAGATTTAACACCTTTAATTGCCAGGTCAAATGAGCAGGTAAAAAAAGCTACCTGAATTAAATCTGATGGGGGAGGTGGGGTGGGGGAGAAAAAAAATGAAAATTTTGTGACTTCTCCTATTTTCTACAATTTTCCAAAGACTATAAAATATCTACAGAATGCCACATGCAGCACTGCTAAGAAAATCGTATATACTTAAAGAGACTATTAAGACTATTCTGTTCTACCTGTATTTCAAAGAATTAAAATTTACTCTAGGAACAAGGCAGCTTAACAGGCTGGTGGTGCACAAGCTTTGTGTGCAGAAGGTCTGGGTTTCATCCTGAGCACTGCATGGTCTCCCTGCATATGGCTGAAAGTGACACCCAAGCACTGAGTCAGGAGGAGAAAGAGGAGAATCACCAGCAAACGTGGTTCAGAAACAAACAAAAATGAAAAACACTCTGTCAGGAAGAGACTGACTACAATGAGGTAAAAATTTCAGTCAATGAAACAAATTGTAAAACTCTTGACTTTTCTTCTGCTTTTAAATGTAACCTACTGGGTGGTGAAATAGGAATCAGTTTGATGGTAGAGGAAATGAGACTTTTGGTGATGAACATGATGAATATATATAGACGCAATCAAAAATGCTAGACACCTGAAATGTGATATCAGTTACCTCAATTAAGTAAAAACAACTTTCAAATATGTTTATATGCATTATTCCTGCAAACCCACAAAATATTTTACTGAAGTATTTACTGTATGAAATATAAATTACTTCTGTTCATATTAGAGAATGGGGTGAAAGGAGATAATATTTTAAGTTTAGTCCCAACTTAAAAATTAGGAGCAAAGTACATTATTAGACAGTTCTTTAAACAATGCAGTATTTTATATTAAATCATTAAGAAGTAGTATGGATGGGGCTGGGGTTAGACACATATGCCTGGCACGTAGAAAAATTTAGTTCAATTCCTAGCACTGCATGTTGCCCCAGCATTACTGCAAGTAGCCCTGGAGGCCACAAGCATCTCCAGAGCTGGCCCTGGTGGCCCCCAGCACTGGTCCCAGCAAAGCATAACAGTGAATGGTCTTGGAGACCATTTCCTGGGTATTTCCTGGGAAAAACACCAAGTACAAAGAAAAGGATATGAAGGTTGGGCAAGACTGTGGAAGACAGAGAAGGAAAGGCAGAATAAGAGGTTAGGAAGGAAGTGAAATGAAGGACTACAGAGAGACTCAAAGAGGACAAAGTCATACATAGAAGTGGGGGTAGAAAGGCTGGCCCCAATGTCAGGTTTCCAAACTCAGCTGCTTCTCAAGCAGACAGTGAAATCCAGAATAAATTGCAGGAGTGTTCTCTCAGCTGAATTAGGTGATTACTCAGTTTTAGGTACACAGCTTTAGCTTTGCATGAAACGATAAGGGAAGGAGTACTTGTCCTACAAAATGCAGCCTTTGTCAGCAACAGAGTCAAACACTGCTCAGATCAAGAGGAAGCGGGTATTAGCCAACGCTGTGGAGAGGAGAAACCAACTGCAGAGGTTGCCTCTACTGAGTTTTCTTTTATCTCAATGACTTTCCTCTTTCCCAAGGGAAAAATGAGACCAGAAATAAGGTTTTACATGATTTTTGCAATAGTTAAAAGAATTTTTAATATTAAAATAGTTTTTTAATAGCTAAAAGTTAAAATTTTTAATAGTTAAAATAAAAATTTTTTAATAGTTAAAAGAATTTCCATAAAGCAGTAAATAATACAAAAATATTTAATTAGCAATATACATAAAGGTCACTTTAAAACTTTACTTCTAGGGGCCAGAGCAATAGTACAGTGGGGAGAGCATTTGCTTCGCAAGCAACCAACCCAGGTTCAATTCCCAGTACCACATATGGTTTCCTAGGCACTGCCACGAGTGATCCCTAAGTGCAAAGCCAGGAGTAGCCCAAAGCACTAAGTCCAACTCCCTAACCCCCTAAAATTTTGCTTATACATATGAAAAGGTATAATAATCCCTTATTAATGGCTTATAATCTAAGATTAGCATTTTGCAAGTACCAGGAATTTTGATGAAAAGAATTATTCATAAAATTCTATTTTGAAATTATGAAAATCAATCCAAATGGCCTATTCTTTAAGTGAAGAGACACACTGTAGCACTGTCCTCCCGTTGTTCATCGATTTGCTCAAGGCGGGGTACTCTCGGTAGCTTGCTGGGCTCTCCGAGGGAGACAGAGGAATCGAACCTGGGTCGGCCGCGTGCAAGGCACACACCCTACCTGCTGTGCTATCGCTCCAGCGATAGGAAGGAATTTTAAAAAACTATTTTTTTCTGGGAAATAGTAAAAAAAAAAAAATTCAGAATCAAATGTTCCTGAGTAAAAAGATGCCCCTAATACTTCTGATTTAACATTTTCAGATTTAAGTTTATCTCCTAACTAATAATAGTAGAAACATAAAAATAATCATAATGTTAAAGATTTAAATGTAGATTTTTCTATTTACCATCTATTTATCATGCTTAGGTGTTAAATGAGTTCTTTTCTACTTAATCTTCAGAGCAAAAACAAGTCATGAATTATAAATTAGGCAGCTATAGTAAAACCATTCATTCAGTGAGTACTTTGTAAGTATTTATATGTAACTATCTTCAGGAGAATGAGAAATTGGTTTTTTTTTTTTTTTTTTTTGCTTTTTGGCTCACACCCGGCAATGCACAGGGGTTACTCCTGGCGGTGCTCAGGGGACCATATGGGATGCTGGGAATCGAACCCGGGCCGGCCACGTGCAAGACAAACACCCTACCAGCTGTGCTATCTCTCCAGCCCCAAAATTGGTTTTTTTAAAAGCTTTTGAATTTCAATGGTATCTGCAAAATATCTCACAATTGCTTGAGTTAACAAGTTGTCATTATGTTTTGATATCTCTCTCTCTTACAAAATCATATGAAAATATGAACACAGAAAAGATGTTTTCCATTTCAATCCTCTGAACACTGCTGGGCCCAAGAAATGAGGCATCAGAGCTGAGCTCCGAATGGTCAGGTTACTGGGCTAAAAATGGCCAGCAATGACCCCCAGCACCTCCAGTGCTTTGAGATATGACCCCAACTAAAAAATAATAATAAGGTATCTTCAGCTCTAAGGTAAACAATTGTTTCATAATACAGCCAACTAATACATCTTATGGCAACACCATCAGGCTCAAGGAATGGTTGATTTAGGCAGTGTCAAGTGTTTCCATGTAAAAAATAAATGTACTAGGGCTGGAGCGATAGCACAGCGGGTAGGGCGTTTGCCTTGCACGCAGCCAACATGGCCAACCCAGGTTCAATTCCCAGCATCCCATATGGTCCCCCAAGCACCGCCAGGAGTAATTCCTGAGTGCATGAGCCAGGAGTAACCCCTGAGCATTGCTGAGTGTGACCCAAAAAGCAAAAAAAAAAAAAAAAAAAAAAGTACTGGCTTTTCACACTCCCCAGTCAATACTCTAATTATAGAAAAAAAAACACCTCAATTCTCTAAAGCACACTACCATACACTAGATGGTTTTCTTGAACCCAAGGGGAAAATAACATGATATGCTCCATTACTACTACATTCCTTAGACTACAGGAGGAAATTGTGAGCTATCATATGACAGTAACCATAAGTGAAGAGATAATGAATTAAAAAAAAAAAAGGTATTGTGGCTGGAGAGATAGCACAGGGGGTAGGGCATTTGCCTGCAAGTGGCCAACCCAGGTTTGATTCCCAGCATCCCATATGGTCCCCTGAGCACCGCCAGGAGTTAACTCCTGAGTGCAGAGTCAGGAGTAACCCCTGTGCATCACCGGGTGTGACCCACCCCAAAAAAAGTATTCACTAAAGAACTCCAACCAGTTTTAAAATTCAGCTGAGAGAGGAAAAATACAAGAAAAATCTCTCTCATTCACTATATGACAAAGGAACAGACATTAACCAAATGTTGACAACGATGGATTATAAAACTCAGATTATCAAACAGAGAAGGAGAGGGTGGGAGAAATAAAGAGATGAACTGGAAGGATAGTGGAAGACAGATGGACCTAAGGATAGTGGAAGAATGTCCTGGGTAGTGCTCAGGGCTATCTTTGGCTCTGTGCTCAGGAGTGACACCATATGTTATGCTGAGGATTTCAACCAGGGTCAGCAGCATGCAAAGCAAGGACCTTCACTCCCGTGCTATCTCTGATGGGTTAAATAAATTTCAACTAGCTTTGACCCAGACATTAAATTATATATTCTATGAAATAACAGAACTGAAAAGAGATCTATAGAAGACAATACATTGATAGATAAATAAGTTACAGAAAACATAACAGCATTTCCTCTATTAAAAAATATTCAAGAGTTAAAGAACATTTGGGGTGAACTTTTGGGTTGGCACATAATGTGGGGGCAGAGCTTACTCCTGGCTCTGCTCTCAGGGATCATTCCTGGTGATGCTCAGAGACCATATGGGATGTCAGGGATCAAACCCGGGTCAGCGGCGTGCAAGGCAAATGCCCTACCCACAATAATGTTGCTCTGGCCCCACTAAAGTATTTTTAAAGAGTTTCTGTGTATTATTAAGGAATCCTTTACTAACGTTTTATATAAATTACAATCTCAAATAATCTTTGCAATATTCCTATGAGGTAAGTGCAATTATATATTCATTTTACTGAGAAAGAAACTATGGCCTCAAGACAATATAGGGCTCATGAAACGTCAGAATAAGTCAAGATTCAAAAACAAACCAATTCCAGAATAACTGTACTAATACTGCCTCCAAAATAGTTTCAAAAGTTACCCTATCCGTAAAACATAAATAATCCTGTTTATTCAGAGGCTATTTAAAAGCAGGGTTTTTTTTGTTGATATTGTTATTCTTAAATAATCGAAATGGTCACAAACAAAAATAATGATTACATAATGGAATATAAGTGTGGTCTGAAATTCTGTACAAAAATTCAAAATGTGGGACCAGAATTAAAAGCATTAAATGAAAAAAACACTTGTCACTTGACATCCTGTTCATCAATTTGCTTGAGCAGGCGCCAGTAACGTCTCCATCATCCCTGTCACATGGTGGTGTAGCCCAATGGCGTCTGCTTGTTCTAGGAACACAAAGAGCCTCCAACCGATTGTTTAGGGTTGTGACGAAGAAGTCTGACCATCTCGTAGGTGGGCAGCCACACGATCTTTTGACATCCCATGAAATCCAGTTGGCAATGGCTCTAGTCCAGCAGTCATCTCCAAATCTCATTACGTGTCCAGCCCATCTGATTTTCAACGCCTTGGCAAACAAGACAGCGTCCCTGATTCTCAATTGTCAATGGAGGTCAGGATGACGGATTCCTTCTCTCACTTGAGTGAAGCGTGATACTCCAAGCATAGCTCTTTTGATTCCTCTTTGGGAGACCCGGAGAGCGTTCTCATTCTGTTTTCATCGGGCCCAGGTCTCTGAGGTGTATGTTAATGCAGGAAGAACATTAAGAATCGAAGAGATTGAAGAGATCTGCCCGGAGCCAGAGGTTCTTGGTCCTCTTAGCTATTTCTTTGATGCTCTTGAAGGTGTTCCAAGCCACTTTCTTCCTCCTCAACTCAGGTGCCAGGTTGAGTTCTGTTGAGTTCTCAACACCTAACCTGTTGCATTGGGAGATATGTGTTCCATTGAGAGCGAATGGAACATCAGGAATGAGTCCGTTTCTCATAAACATTGTCTTCGTGAGATTCAGCTGTAGTCCAACCTTTCCACACTCATGGTCAAAGTCTGCCAGCATTTGTGCCGCTTGGCTAATGTTTGTTGTTATTACAGCAATGTCATCAGCGAAGCGGAGATAGTGTAGTTGCTGACCGTCTATCTTCACCCCTATTCCTTCTCATACCAATCATCGCATGACATTCTCAAGGGTGGCATTTAAGAGTTTCGGTGAAATGGTATCATCCTGCCGAACCTCTCTTTTGACATCAATGATTACTTCTTTGTAGAATGGTGAGATCCTGGTAGTGAATCTGTAATACAGCTCACGGAGGATCTTGATGTTTGAACACCCTGTTTGGCTAGGGCTTTGATGACCGCTTCCGTCCCAACAGAATCAAAGGCTTTCTTTAAATCAATGAACGTTAGACAGAGTGGCATCTTGAACTCCCGAGAAACCTCAATGAGCTTGGTTACGGTGTGGATATGGTCAATCGTGCTGAATACTTTTCGGAACCTGGCTTGCTCGCATAGTTGTCCTTCATCTAGTGTTCTGCCAATCATTCAGGATGACTCGAGTGAACAGCTTGTAGACGACAGACAACAGGCAGATTGAGCGATAGTTGCCAATGTCGTGGATGTCTCCCTTCTTGTACAGTAGTACAGTCCTGCTAGTTTTCCCCGGGGACGGAACCTTGCATTCAGACAGGTAGCGTGTGAAGAGCCGAGCCAGTGCACTGATGAGTACTGACGGCAGGTTCTTCAGGTGTTCGGGTCTGACCTTGTCTGGGCCGGGTGCTGTTCGCTTCTTTACCAACAAAATGGCATGTCAGATTTTAGAAGGGAGAACATTGGGAATGACATATCCATCCTGTGGAATTTGGTATGTTGGCAGGTGGACATGGCTATCAAAGAGATTTGAGTAGAAGTCATGGATAATCTTCTCCATTGCCCTTCTAGAAGATGTGATAGATTCATCAGGACATCGAAGGGCAGTCATCTTGGTCTTATAGTTGGTGAAGGACAAGCGGGCGTTGTGAATGCTTTTCCCAGCTTCTGCTGCATCTGCCAGCACTGCTGCTCTTCTCTCTTTGAGGTCTTCCTTGATCACATCTCTGCACTGCTTTGCAAGCTTGGACATTCGCTTGCGGTTGCCTGAGGCTTGTGCCAAGCCATGTTGGCGAATGAGCTCAATAGTTTTCGAAGACAGGCGTCTTTTTGTGGCCATCTCTCTCTCGGCATTCCTCGCACAATCATGGAAGTGCTGAACCAGTCGATTGTATTCCTCATCAATGCTGTCAATGAGGGCAACTTCCCATGTTGCCACATTAGTGCCAAAGACCTCCCAGTTGGTGGTCATTCTGGGAGTTCTCTTCTTAAACTTTGCAACCCTTCCACCCTGCTCCGTGAAGTAGAATTTTGCAAAGTTGAATAAAAATCAAATTTCGGACCAGTATCACATGCTGATACCACTGTTAGTTTAAAATTCTGTGAAACAGTAACCCCTTTATGCAAAGAAACACAAATACAAAGAGAGACATGGGATGGTTTAAATGCTCAAATGACAATGGTTAGCTCTGGGAAGAAAAGGAGAGGAATAAGATCCAAGGAAAGGACCAAGGCACTTCAATTTACTTCAACAACTAACTAAAGCAAAATATTTAAGAACTAGTCATGAATATATCAATGCTCATTACATTGGTCTTTATTATTATCTGTGATTTGGTCACACCAGTATCAGAACATAGGTGTAAAAAGGTTAAAAATGCACCAATGTGCATGTTTCAATCATGTTCTAATAAATAATTATTAAAGTTCCAAATGTGATCCCAATGTACAGCTAGTTTAAGGAAAGAGAAAAAGTTTTATTCCAAATGCTAGTCTATGCCTCTTCCAGTTTTGATTCTTATAAAACTCAGGCTTGGGGCTGGAGTGACAGCACAGTGGGGAATGTGTTTGCCTTGAATGTGGCCGATCCGGGTTCGATCCCCAGCATCCCATATAGATGGTCCACTGAGCACCGCCAGGAGTAATTCCTGATTGCAGAGCCAGGAGTAACCCCTGAGTATAGCCGGGTGTGACCCAAAAAGAAAAAAAAAAAAAAAAACCCTCAAGCTTGACAAAGCCTAGTGTATTTTATTTGCTTCTTAACATCTAAGTCTCCTTGGAAACTGTTTCTCAATATAATGAAATCCACAATCTTTATTAAGAGATTTGTCAATATCTGCTCAAGAAATTATTTATTTCTAGAAGACGTGGAAAAGAATCCTTTTTTAAAAAGAAAACTTTTCTACTGCTAGGTAACTACACACTGGTCTATCAGCTTTCACAAAATAACCATAATATATATTTTTATTCTCAAAAGTGCTCAAGTAGCCCAGTCAATCTGTGGCTGTGCATATTCTCCATCATCTCTAAGGTTTAATAAAAAGGCTTAGAAAGAGAGAGAAAAAAAAAGTACTACTTCACTTTTCACTTTCTAAAATGCATGCTCTGGAACCAGAGTAACAGTACAGCTGGTAAGGCATTTGCCTTGCATGCGGCCGATCTGGATTTGATCCCTGACATCCCATATTGTCCCCTGGGTATCGCCAAGAGTAATTACTGAGTGCTGAACTAGGAGTATCCTGAGTATCGATGGGTATGACCTAAAAAGCAATAAAATAAAATAAAATGTATGCACTGGGGTCTGGAGCAATTATACTGCAGGTAAGGCACTTGCCTTGCACACGGCCAACCTGGTTTCAATCTCCAGATCCCCTACAGTCCCCTTGAGCATGGCCAGGATTGATTACTGAGAGCAGAGCCAGGAGTAACACCTGAACATCACCAGATATGGCCCCAAAAACCAAAATAATTTTAATATTTTTAAATAAATAAAATGCTCTGTTAAACATTTTCATTTGAACCACACTTCATGAGTAGGTAATTCGTAAGATAATTTGTTTGACAATAATGCTTAAGGGTTGTAGCTTTATATACATCTCTCCACTCCGCCCAAATCCAGTACACAGTAAGAATCTTGTATACTATATAAAACTCAAAGATATGAATCTGACAACAGAAAACATTGTGTGCAATTTTTTTATCTAGAACATATTATTTCCCTACTGTAAATTCACTCACAAGTCTATAATTTACTCTTCCTTTTTTTTTCATTTTCAGAATTCAAAAACTAAAATCTTTATACTGGCACTCAAATAAATAACAATAGGCATATTACCTGCATTTAAATTGTTGACTGGCACTTGCAAAGTAGCTGCAACTTTATTTAAAATTTTCTGCATTTCTGGTCCATTTTTGAAGGCTTCTACATGATAAAGAGCAGTAGTATTTTTTTCAACTTCAGTTAAAAACTTCTCACAATGGTCAAAGAATCTCATTAATTTATCATTAATTCTTGGAGGTCCGCATTCCATGTCTGAAAGAGGGGAGGTTTTATATATATATATATATATATAGAGAGAGAGAGAGAGATAAATATCAACTTTCAAAGTATTGAAAACTTTTTTTGCAAGTATGACATAGAATACAAAAATGCCCTATGCATTCTCATGTCGGGAATAACATATTACTTACAAAAGGGTAAAACTAAAAATCCCCATATGCCAGAAAGACAATACAGCAGGTAGGGTAGGGCATTTACCTTGCATACAACTGACTTGGGTTCAATTCCTGGTACCACAAATGGTCCCCTGGGGCACCATCAGGATACCTGAGTGCAGAGCCAAGAGTAAGCCCTGAGCATTACCAGGTGTGGTCAAAAAGCAAAACCAAAAATTTATAAAGCATCATTTTTAAGTATTTGTAATTCATAAAGTTACTTGTTAAAAAGACTATAGGAACAGATTATTAAAGATACTGTAATTTTCTAAAATATGTAACAGGGACAGACAGATAAAAGAGATAGTACAGGGGAAGGCCCTTGCCTTGAACATGGCTGACCCAGGTTCCATCCCCAGCACCATTTATGGTAACCTGAACACCAACAGGAGTGATCCCTGAACACTGAGCAAAGAATAGCTCCCAAGTACCACTGGGTATGGCCCCAAAACAAAATTAAACAAAACAATAACAAAAGACACAAACATGCACACAAGAAGTAATTTTAGGCCAACAGAGTTAGAAGAGGAGATATGGCCTGCATATGGTTGTTGCAGTCAGTACAACTTAAAAAAATTATGATAAGTTTTGATAAAATAAATTATGATAAAATAATAACTGAAATAAATGTTTTTCTTTTTCTACTTACTTCATTATTTACATGAATTTATTTACATGAATTACAAGACTAGTTGTAGTTTGCTTTTGACATACAATGTTCCTATCACCATACAATGTTCCTATCACCAATGTTCCAATCACCAATCCTGCCACCAATGTTTCTAGGTTCCCTCACCAACCCGGCTCCCTTTCTGCGTTCCTCAACCCAGGCCTGCCATCTTGACAAGCACCTTTTAAATTTGGTTATTAAAGTATGGGTCCCACAATTTCAGTGTTGTTAACTTGGTTTGGATATTTAGCTCTATCATTCCTTAACACCACCAATGTTTTCTTAGAAAAACAAATAGGCTTGTTCTTCAAGACCATGTTCTCCCTTGAATACTTGCTTGTCAATGATGCTTCTCAAATATGTACTTCTCCCTCTCTCCCCTCCTAACTTTCTAAGTAACTTCCAATAAAAACTACCCTGTTTCTCTCTCTCTCTCTCTCTCTCTCTCTCTCTCTCTCTCTCTCTCTCTCACACACACACACACACACACACACAAATAAAAATAACCAGCCACAAAAAAGTCATTAGAAATGTAAAGATGTAACATATAAATACTGTTTCTAACAGGCAGAAGTAACCTGAAAAGAAAAAAAAAACACACACACACAAAAAACCAAACATTAGCCAAGTTCCTAATCAGAAAGTGAAAGATAATTCAAGAGTTTGAAATATCTTCTGAGAGTATTTTATCAACTTTTTAAAACTGTTGTTTTTGCAGAAAGTCCTGTTTTACACAACAATTTTTTTTTTTTTTTGGCTTTTTGGGTCACACCCAGCGATGCACAGAGTTACTCTTGGCTTTGCACTCAGGAATTACTCCTGGCGGTGCTCAGGGAACCATATGAGGTGCTGGTAATCAAGCCCGGGTCAGCCGCATGCAAGGCAAACACCTTAGGAGCTGTGCTATTGCTCCAGCTCCCTACACAACACTATTGCAACAAATATACCTCTTAAGTGTCAAGTCTTCTATATTTGATTGTGTTAGGTGCTCTGGCTTGGCTTATTTGCTAACTAAAGCTCCCAGAAAACTTCCCTTTTAAATCTATCAAGTTACTTAACATACCCAATTTGGCAACAAATAGGTATTGGAAAAAGTATTCAAAACCATGTATCAATTCTTAAGGTGCCTAGTAAATCTAGTTCTGAGAAAAGTAAATCCAGTTCTATTACTTTGTTTTGGATGTTAAAAAAAAAATTATATATATACAAGTATATCTGATCCTGAAAGATAATTCAACCACTTTAACTACAGTTCAGGTTATATTTTGTCATACCCATCAGTGCTCAGATACCACTCCTGGCCCTGTGCCCAGGTGTCACTCTTGTGCTAAGGATCAAACCTGCGTCAGCTACCAGCAAGGCAAGCACCTTATCCCCGGACCTATTTCTCTGACCCTCAATAAAACATCAAAACTAGGGCAATGATCTTTGTTATCTTTTTTTTGTGGTCTCAAAATATTTGTTTCCCAAGTGCATCTGGGTATTTCTTCCAGTCTATTCTCTAATTATTATTGTTCTTTAAACAGAAATAATGATATTCTGCTTTTGCAAGAATTATGAATCTAATTCAGGGGCCTCCCCCAAAAGTTCAGATGTACACAACAAGGGAAACAACTGTCTGAGTTAATAATGAAGTAGCTCAGTAAAGGATTTAACCTCAGAGACAGAAAATGGTGGGTTTATCCTGAACCATTCTGACCTCTGGCTTTGGATTGAGAGGGAAATGTCAATTCTCAGACATTACTTAAGGCAAAAGTCATTCATTCCAGAACATCCAAGAGTCCTTTTTTAATATTTACTATATACTAAAGCAATATCTGCTTTCAACAGCCAATCAGTAGCTTTATGAGGCCTTCTCAATGGCATTATTGGAGAAGACCTAGCTGTAATTAAAAGGCACAATTCAGGCCTACATACGCCTCAATGGTAGAGCATAAAGGCTCAATCCCTGGCACAATCAACTGATTCATTTAAAACAGGCGACTACACCCAGGCCAGCCAACTGAGTTACCCACAGGATGCACAATCAATGGAAGAATCCCTGAGATGGGTGAACTGAGTGAGGATGTTACTGAAGAAACAAGACCGGGGCCTCGAATTAATTTTTCTTTAAAGCTAAGGATGCCTCGAGGCTGGAGCGATAGCACAGTAGCTAGGGTGTTTGCCTTGCATGCAGCTGACCCAGGTTTGATTCCCTGCATCCCATATGGTCCCCCGAGCACCGCCAGGAGTAATTCCTGAGTGAAGAGCCAGGAGTAACCCCTGTGCATTGCTGGGTGTAACCCAAAAAGGAAAAAAAAAAGCTAAGTGATGCCTCACTACAATTCTGACGTTAAAGTCAATCAACAAAGTATTGGTACCAGAACAATACAGCAGGCAAGGAGGGGACGTGCCTTGGCACACAACCAACCCAAGTTCAATCTACACCACATACAGGCTCCTGAGTCCCACCAGGAGTGATCCCTGAGCACAGAGCCAGGAGTAAGCTCTGAGTACTGCAGAATGTGCCCATCCACTACTCCCACCACCCAAAAAAGTACTGATATTCGTTCATCTCTCGAATACAACAGTGTAATTTTTTCACTCTAATTTATGAAATGTTTTAACATAACATCCCTAATGTCACAGGGCAAATGGGAGTTCAGCAGTATAATAGTTGAGTCCAAGGTCTCAGTTACATCCCCTCAGTTTGCAGCTATCATATCTCAATTTTCTCATCTTTTAGATTGGGGAGAAATATTTTCAAAGGCCAAGACCTGTTGTAAGGATTTAGGAAAGTTAATGTGAAGTGTGTCTGGCCCATGGCTCACATTAATGTTCACAGAAGTCAGAAGTAGTAGTGGTAACTATTAACATATTTACTGAGACAAATGGCACTATTCAGGGGGGGTCAACAGAAGGCCTGGAATCTAGGCCTAATTCATACTAAAAGCCAAACTGGTTCATGTTCTTGGGCGCTACTTCTTCACCAAAGAAATAAAAGGTCTTGCTGGGAGATTTCTCCAATTTTGAGAAAAAAGGCACAGAATAGATTAGCAAAGTCAGGTTTGAGATCAGACCACAGCTACAATCAAGCAACTTTGCGGTGTACACAAGAGCAAAACGAAAACATGAGTAGCAACACAGAGTGTAAAGAGTGGCTTCCTAAAATGACTAGAGGTTGAGCACCAACATTTGGGGGAAAAAATGCTAAAGAAAATACCTAAACAGTCTAAAAAGCTAAACCTGAGGAAGAAAGCTGAGGAGTATATTATATATGTGTAATATATATATGTGTGTGTATATATAACACACCCATATAATATACACATACATACAATACACACAGACACACATAACACACACACATATGTTTGTTTGTTTTCAGCTGCACCCAGCAGGGCTCTGGGCTTACTTTTGCCTCAGCACTCAGGAATCACTCCTGGCGTGCTCGGGGGACCTTATGGATGCCAGGGATCAAACCCGGGTCGGCCGCGCGCCAGGCAAATGCGCTACCCACTGTCCTATCGCTCCAGCCCTTGGAGTATGCTTTTAAAGCGCATCGCACCCGGCGTAGAATTAGCTGTCAGGAGGGAAGAAAAAGAGATGGTGGGGAGTTCGGAAAGGGCAGCAATTTTGTTCGAAAAAGGAGGCTCAAACACCGGTCTGTCTGTCTCCTTTCCTGCAGGATCCCCGACGTCTACTCGCAGGTTCTGCATCACCGGGCGCCAACCTCGTACCTCAAGGGCTCCAGAGAGCGGCGAGCCCGGCCAAGTACCCGCCCGCAGCCCGGGGGAGGGGAGCCGGTCAGCAGCAGGGGAGGGACAGCGGGGAGGGAAGAACGGGACGGGGACGCGGGAACTGGGCCCGGCGGCCCTCCGGTCACCTGCGACGTCGGGCGCGGGCAGCCCCGGGTGGTGGTGCTGCCACAGCCCCTGCAGGAAGGCGTCGCCGCTGTCCACGCAGCGGTGCTTGGAGCTGGTGATCAGCCGCAGGCGGCCGTAGTTCTCGCGGCTGAAGAGCGCGGGGAAGCGCGAGGCCATTCGCAGCGCCAGCTGCCGCATGTCCTGCCGGCCCTTCTCCACCAGCTGCCCGTCCATCCAGTCTGCGTACCAGAGCGGCCGGCGGGCCAGGACGGCGCCCAGGTCGCGGCCGTCGTCGTCGGCGCCGCTCCCGCCGAGCGCGGGCGCGCGGCTCTGCAGCAGCCGGTGCAGATGCCGCAGCTTGGCGATCTGCTTGGCCGTGGGGTAGCGGGTGCCGTGGCGGATGAGCGCGACCAGCTGCACCGGGGTGCAGGCGTCCTCCAGCCGCTCGGCGCCCCGCCGCAGCACCTCGGCGTCCGGCAGCCCCGGATTGGCATCCTCATAGCGAGTCTTGGTGCCGAAGTAGGGGCTGAGCACCGAGACCACCGGCTGCTCCGACTCCAGGAGGTCGCAGCGCGACAGCGACGAGAGCAGCGCCACAGCCAGGGCAGCGGCAGGGGCGACCGACGCGCCGACGAGGCTGCTGGGGCCACGGAGCATGATGAGCGGAGCGACCGCGGGTCTCTCGCCGGCTGCGGCCGCCGGCTTCCGCTTCCGGGGGCAAGGGGCGGGCCTCGAGGGGGCTTCCGGCCGGGGTCCGCGCGGGCTGCGGCTCGGCGGAGCGGCGGTCGCGGGGCTGCGCGGGGCTGCGCGGGGCCGTCGGTGGCGGCGAGCAGCTGGTGCCAGCCTCTGCCCGGCTTGTCCGACGCGGCGAGAGCCGGCAGAGAACCCGCAGGATCCTCGGTGCTCTGTGATCAGACGGAGTCTCTGGCGACCGGCCGCCAGCGTGGGCGCATTTCCTCGTCACAGGCGCCTCAGGGACTGACTCAGCGGCTCCGCCCCGCTCCCGGCGTTGAGAATGTTCCACGGCGTGTGCCTGGGCAAGCCCGGACGAAGCCTTAGCCTCCGAGGCCGCGGGAACCGGACGCCTTTTGACAGCCTCAGTGCAGCGCCCGCCCTTGCACCCTCCTTGCCTCTTGGGGGCTTCTCCCGGGCTGGCCTCGGAACTACCGAACGTCAGGCTGAGGCGGTTCTTTCCGGTGCAGCGGCGTGGGTCCAGACCCGTGGGAATCCCCGTGCCCCCGGCCTCCCGCCTATTGCACCGTGGCACTGTCCTCTCTCGTTAATCGATTTGCTCCAGCGGGCACCAGTAACCACTGTGAGACTTGTTGCTGTTTTTGGCATATGAATACGCCACAGGGAGCTTGCCAGGCTCTGCCACGGGGCCGGGATACTCTCGGTAGCTTGCTGGGCTCTCCAAGAGGGATGGAGGAATCGAACCCTGGTCGGTCGGCCGCGTGTAAGGCAAACACCCTACCCGCTATGCTATTTTGAAAATGCGCTGGATGCCTCAGAGCTGAGAAGAACCTGAACTTAAGCTCAGTTCTCCTGGGGGGTTTCTTACGCCTTCAGTAGGATCTGACCTGGAACGGGTGGGACCGACACAGCAGGCTGCTCTGCAGAGATATTGTACTCGTTGGTACCTAAGAGGCCACAGCAACCCTGATAACCTGGGTGCCTTGAGTCATAGCCTCGCAGATTTCCTCCACTATTAACTGTGAGCTAATCTGTGGGAAGCTAACCGGGCCCTTGACCACCACGCCAGCTCCCAAACTCTGCTCTAATTACAGACTAAAACAACAGGTTTGGTTTGGAGAGGTTACTGCTCAGAATCTTACATACACAACCCTCAAATCATGAATCTGAACACCACCTTTGTTATTCATTTAAATGCCAGTTTAGAGGCCAAAAGACTAAATATTAAAGAAAGCATCTGGTGATTCAAATTCGTGGAAGTTTTGACCGTGTTTTTCTTTAATCCGTGTTTTCCTACCGGTCTTTGACCGTGTTTTCCTACTGATCTTGGGGTGGAGACAGTACAGGAGGTCAGGTACTTGCATGTGGCAGACCCTGGTTCAAAACCTGGGTACCACATATGCCCCACCACCAACACCCCAGAACCACCAGGGTACAAGCAGGAGCTACCAGGAGTAGATCCTGAACACCACACTGGCCCCAAAGCCCTTTCCCTTCCAAAACAAACTGCTGCTTGATTAACTCGTATCTATATTCCAACTTTCTTGATGAAGTGTCTTTCATATCCAGCCAGCTATAAAAAATAAACAAGTATAAATCAAGATTCGATTTCAATTGAATGCTGAAAATTTAAACAGGTTCTGTACCGGAAATCAGTTTAGGATGACAGATGTTCTTTTCTGATAAGTCATTTTGTAGAATGTCAATACCTGCATATCTGTGATGAGTGCTGTTTTCACAGTTGTTCAGTATTTAATGAGCATCCACCCTTTACAGACTTCCTTATGTTTTATACACTTAGGAGTCTGATATTACTAAGTTCATTTACTAAGCATTTGTGCCAGTTAGGTCTCATTATACTTTCTTAATATGTTTGCTCATAAGAATATGTTGCCATGAGTCTGCCCCACATTAGGAAGCTGCAAGTTCCATCCCTGCCACTGCCCTTCCTGCTGAATGAGATCAGCCAGTACTCTGCTGTTTACAATCCCAGACACAGTAATAAATCCTGCAGCCTAGCTGGGAAGAGAGCTCAGAGTGCATGCTTTCCATGCAGAAGGCTAGGGTTCCCCATATAGCCCCTCTCCCCATAAGTATTTAATTCCCATATAGAACTGAAATTAACTACAAGGAATACAATAAGGCTATGCCCCCAGTCATCATAACAATGAAAGGAAATGGTTCTTTAAAACGTGGATCTTGCACTCAACCTTTTGAGTTTTCAGGATCACCAAGTCTTTCCAAACTCATTACTCCTTTGTAACAAGTTAGTCTTTTAGAGACTTAGTTACTTACAAAATGGTGGTTCACATTATTTTACTCTAAATTTGTCCATTGCTTGGTTTGATTTTCCTCCCTTTAATTAACCATCTGCTAATTTTATGCTGGATTTCAGAACTTGTTATGTAAACTTATAATCATTGTTATGTCAAGCCATAAACCATGGTTGAGTTTCCCTCTCCTCCCTGAGCAGAGCCCTGGCAGCTGAAGACCTCCAGGATCCAGCCACAGTCATGCTGAGACCACTCTCCATACACTAGGACAGGTCTCACGCATGAAGGAACCGGAAGAGGAACCTAGGTGTGCGAGACCCGGGGCTGAGATCTCTAAGCCTGCTCGGTTCGGGACTGGGCCTCCTCCACCTAGATCCCCATCTTCCAGTAGCTGGACAATTAAACCCACCAACTGCCATGTAACCCCATCAATGGCCAAGATCCAGAGACAATAAAACCAAGCTCCTGGAAGCACACGGCCGAGACCTCCTATTGTCTAGTTCTCACTCTCAGAGAACCCAGCAGGCTATCAAGAGTCTTCCGCCCGCATATATGCCTGACTGGGAATACCTGTAAAGGTGATTAGAGGCTGCCCCAAAAACCTCCATCCCTCTTCGAGAGCCCAGCAAGCTACCAAGAGTATCCTGCCCACACAGCAGAACCTGGCAAGCTACTCATGGCGTACTCAATATGCCAAAAACAGTAACAATGATGGTCCTCATTCCCTTGACCCTGAGAGCCCTCAATATGCCATTGGCCTACACTAGCACGTGACAGGGATGAATGGAGACATTACTGGTACCCGCTTGAGCAAATTGATAAACAACAGGGTGATAGTGATGTCAAGCCAATGAGGCCAATAATAAAATTGAAGTAATGCCATCTGTTTATTTATTTATTTTGGTTATGAAAAAAAGCCAGATAGAGCATAGGAGAACAAAATATATGTGTTTTTTTCTTGCTTTTTGATTTTTCCTATTTGGGCCACACCAGGTGTTATTCAGGGGTTACTTCTGACTCTGTACTCAGGAATCACTCATGGCAGCTGGTGCACCACATAGGACACCCAGGTAGAATGCAAGCATGCTGCCCACTATATTATCTCTCCTGCTCCAAAGTACATAAGCTTTAGATTCAGGCTCCAAGTTCAGCCACTCATTGGCTAAGTGACTTTGGAAAATTATCCAAGTTCTCTTTGCCTTAGTTTCTTATCTGAAAATTAGGACTATTAGAACCTGAAATTGGTCCAATGCAAATTAAAAATTGAATTCAAAATTTAAAATAATAAACTTTTGAGCAGACTTGCTGAAAATGTAAAGAATGTTTCTTACACTAGGGAGACAAGTCAAAGGACTAGAGCATATGCTTTTTATGAAGAAAGCCAAGTTCAGTCTGGCATCACACACATGGTCTACCATTGTCATCCTGAGCATCACTGGATGCGACCAAAAACCAAAAAAGAATTTTTTTCTGTTATTTTGTGTGTCCCCAAAATCCTATGGAAAATTATGCTTCAGAGCAAGAGCAGCACAAAAAGCATTTATTGACCATCTGACTCCCTTCAGCCTTTGTTCTAAGATGCACTTCCCACTTCTTATCCTATATAAACTCCCTCTTGGGGCCAGAGAGCACTCAATGGGCTAAGCACATGTCTGAGTGGAATACAAAAATGTTGAAAACTGTATCATTCTACCAAGTACAGTTTCTTTTTTCATCAGTCACTACATTAAAAAATATTTATTCTTGTCACATAGGTCTTCTAAAATAGTCACTCTACTTTTCAGAAATGTTATGTGCTTTTTAGAGTTGTTTCAAATAGTAGAGTGACTATTTCAAATCAAATAGTCACTCTACTTATCAAATGATGATATTATATATTTTTTAAGCGACAGCCATCTATTATACTTTTTTAAAAGAATGATTATAGATTACTTTCTAATGGGAAACCAAAGGAAAAAGATAAATTCAACCTAAGTAAGCATAGAAAACACCAACTGGTTTCTGAAGTTAGACTTTCGAATCTTGTTTTCAAATTTTAGCTTTATAACTTAAACACAAGAAGATCGTGAGCAAGTAAGCACGTTTTTCTTCAAACTGATTTTTCTGAAAAGGGATAGGGATAATATTCATGGCATGAAATTTTGAGATCAGTATTTCTCAGCCTAGGACATGTGAGCCCCCAGAGTATTCCAAGGGAATCAGAAGTGAAAAACAGAAAGTAAGGAGCCACAGTGCAAGACTGGGGCAAGCAAGTTAATAGGATATGGGACCAATAGAAGAAAATCAGGTTGGAAAAGGACCACAGTCAGAAAAAGGTTGAGAAACACAGGTTGACAGAATTAAATGAGATCATTTACATAAAGATTTTGGGAGTTTCTAAACCTGTTAGTTACTTTTATTAAGCAGAATTAAAGTTTTTCTTGATATGCTTCTCCTTTAATCAAGTAAACAGACAAGTGGCCATATTTCATTGATATCTATTATCTCATGACTACATTAAATGACTTTGCCAAGAAAATTTCTAGTATCTTACTGTCCTATCCTGCTCTCTTATCTTCACTAGTTGTTGATGTTTAATTTTTTGTTGTTGTTGCAGTAGAAATTAAAAAAATTAAGAGGAGCCTATGATTCTGGACTGGGCTTAAGTGATCAGGTTTTAGCAGTCTCCTAAGCCTCATTTGATTGTGGAGGCTGCAT